GAAGAAGAAGAAGAGTGAAGGAAGGGGAAGTAAGCGGCGAGGGTGATGAAGGTGCAGGTGCCGGCAGCCATACCCGAGGAGGAAGAGTTGACCGAGGGTTGACCAGGGGTTGACCAGGGGTTGACCGGAGGGTTGACCAGGCGTTGACCAAGGGGTTGATTGAGCATTGACCAAGAGTTGTCCGCGTTGACTCAGCGTTGACCAAGGCGTTGACCGGAGTTGCTGACCAAGATTTTGACCAAGCTGGAGTTGGTGATATCTCGCTGAGCCCTTAGCCTATCCCCTTACCCTATGGATGTGCCCTCACCCTACGGTACTTGCTGAGTTTGAGTCTGTCTGTCTTTCCTTTCTGCATTGAGTCTCTTCTGTCCTAGGTGTTAGGACTCTGTGGATGAAGGATAGGGCCTTGCTGCCAAACCTGCACGGGACTTAGTAGGACTGATCTCTACTCTGGCATCTTGAGACCTGGGCATGAGCGGCGAGCGCTCGTTAAACAACTCGTCTAGCCCAATGACCGGTACTGTCCGGCAGGTCTACTCAGTTCCAGGGTAGAGGGTCCGAACTCCGAGTTGTAGGCTGAAATGAAGGCCGTCTTTAAGTGTTGAGGCCTGGTTGAACCACTCCCCTACCGGACCTAGTAAGGCTGATGATCTGTGTCTGACGACTCGACTGTCCTGAGGGATACGAACCCCTCCAAGGACCGGTACAGACTGGCGGGCTGCTCGGTGTGGCACAGTAGGCCGGAACGGCTGAGTTGTGGGCTGAAAKCGCCAGGAAGAACCAAGCTGATCACGTCATCCTGTCTGCGACGTTAAAGAATGCTTGCGGAGTTTGAGGGATCTCCTTAAATGCCTCCAGATCAGCTTTTGGTTCAGTAGTGACAGCCTTAGAGTAGCCTTGGGTTAGTGATCATAGTTGACAGGGTCTTACCCTGTGGCCCTTAGAGAGTCAGTCAGTAGGTCAGTGTGTCCGGATAGGTCTAAGTGGTGAGGAGTGGAACATTGTCGTGCACCTAACACCACGATGGATGACTATCCGATGTATGGGTTGCTTGTTGGGTTCTCCCTCTGGGGGACCCTCTGGCGCCTCCTCTTCCCTCTGGGGTTCTGGCACGTGGTGACGTGTAGAGTAGATACCCGGGGTGGTGCTTCCACCAAGCCATATTCGAAGGAGGAGGAGGAAAAGATGGCCGCCATTCTGAGAGAGAGGAAGGAGAAGAAAGAGGCCAAGAAGAAGGCCCTACATGAGGAGCAGGCAGCCAAGTTAAAAAAGATAGAGGAAGAGATGGCCAGAGAGAAGGAGAGGTTAAAGAAAGCAGAAGAGGAGAAGTTAAAAGAGGTAGACGAGGAAGAAGAGGAAGACGAGACGCCACTGCAAAGGAAGAGGGGGCAGTACAGTGGCAGCAGAGATGAGGAGATGGAAAAACGGATTTCAGAATGGGTCACCAATTTATCCCTGGGTGAAGAAGAAGAGGTGGCAATGTACATATCCAAGGATGATCAGGAAGCCGTTATGAGAGCTTGGGAAGCAGAAAAAGATGTCGTAAAGCGGCAGGCGATGGAAGATGAGAAGAGGATGGAATGGAGATTGGCAGTGATGAGGGAGAAGAAGAGGAGAATTGACAAGGCAGCGGAGGCGGCAGAAGACTTAGAGGAGGTACAAAAGATAGAAGAGCAATTAGCCGCCCAGACGGAACTCCCAAAGCAAATGCAGGTCATAGCCTGGAACGTTGCACGTTTAGCACGAATCTAGGCAGAGCAGTATGACTTCAGTAGGAGTCAGCGTATCGCTGTGCGTTCAATACGATTGGGCTTTCGGGACTTTGCTCGTGAGTTGGTAGGCGTTGTAGGAGCCGAGGTGGGCCACCGCCTCGACAAGACTGAGCGGTTCTGTGCTGGCGCAATTGAAGGCGTCAAGGCGGCAGCTCCCAAGGAGGAGGAACCACGTCCTCGCAGGGAGCCAGTCAAAGTCAAATTCCCTGATTCCTACAGTGGAAAAAGGGAAGAGAACTTTGACAACTGGGAGGCTAACGTGAAGACCTATGTGCATTTGCAACAGGTCTCCCCGGATCAACAAGTTCTAATTGCGATTCACGCGCTTAGAGATGAGGCCGCCAGTTTTGCAAGGTCCCTAGTTCGTGTTGCCAACTGTAATGATGACCCAGTTGCATACTCCTCGTTCACTCCCCTCACCGATTTCATGAAATTGCTGCGCGAGCGATTTGCTGATGTCGCTCGTAGTGTTAAGGCCTCAGACAAGCTCCAGACAATCCACGCTCGTAAGTGGAAGAGCGCCAGAGCACTTAAGAGTATAATGGATGAGCTTGTAGCTGTCCCTGACCATGGGGTCACCGAGACCCAGTTGGTCTCCCTCTTCTACCGGGCTATGCCCGAAGCCTTTCGAGGGCACTTCTTCGCGAAGAGCGAAGACCCTGCCACTACSTACGATTCTCTTAGTCGAGAAGTGGTGGCTTTTGAAGCCAAGTCTGAGTCTGTGTCCACCTTCTGGCACAAGGACTTGGACAAGGGTAAGCAATGGAAGGGCCGCACTATCTCTGGGCAAGTGAAGACTAAGGATAGTCTTGTCCTAACCTTAGATGAGGGTAGTGTGGACGAGATCCCCTACGATCAGATTGAGTGGGGGCTAGAGGAGGAGGACAGCGGTGTGGGCCAGGGGAGAACTTACGCTGCTGTCGCGGCTGGAGGGAGGCCGCAAGGAGGAGGACGAGGCCAGGGCCAAGGGGGTTGGGCCTCAAGGAGCCGGTTCCAGGGCGACCAGGGGGTTGGCGGCAGAGGAGGAAACCGCCAAGCGGGAGGMAGGGGTCAAGGTCCCCCGCAAACCCGTCCTAGGAACAGGTCTCCGTATAGGGTAGGAGGATGGCACCCAGGGCTACCACAGGGTAGGTCTTGGGAAACTTTGGGTCTGGACCAGACTTTATGGCAACAACGATTGGACCGGGGCCAGTGCATTTTTTGCGGTGCCCCGGGCCATATCATCAAATACTGTCCTAAGTATCGAGAGACCCGAACGGCTGCTCAAGGGCCAAAAGGCAGCCGCCGGTAGGGGTAGCAACTGCCCCTACCACAAGGCCATGTGGGAAAAATAGCGCTAGCCGGCAGGAGACTCCCACACCACATGTGCCTATGGCAGAGGTTGCAGGCCGGTGTCTAGATAGCTGCCCAGAGACTGCTTGTGTTAGGGTCTCTCTAGACACCTCCCTCACATGCGTGGCCGAAGAATTGAAGGAGAGGATGCCCGCCTGGGCCAAGATGAAAAAGGAGAATAAAGGGCAGCTTATATTACTAGATACAGAGATTTTTAGAGGTAGAGTAGGGGCCCTAGTAGACTCAGGGGCCACCCGCAGCTATATTAGTAAGAAAGCGCTGCAGAAATTGAAGCTGGGACTTAAAGTCCAGAAACTRACAGACCCCATAGTTAGTATCCTCGCGGACAATCATACTATGGTTGTAGAGGATTACGTCGAGGGAGTCTAGGCATATTTCCGCCTAGAGAARGATGGGAAAGTGGAGAAGGTCCTCCACTCCCTGACTCTCCTCGTAGAAGACAGCCTCCCATTTGATATTGTTCTGGGGATGGATTGGGGAGAGGCAGCCGAGGCCACGCTCCATTTGAAGGAGCACGAGTGTAGGCTCCCTAGTTCGTCAGGCGAGGCTAATACTGCCCGCATGTTCCATGTGTCGGGAGTAGAGAATCCCTTGGCACATTGCTGCCTTAGTGCGCCTGCATTCGCCAGATTAGTGAAGAAGGAGAAATTAGAGGAACAGGTCTTTGTTGCCTATGTTAGGCCAGTGACTGAGCCTACGGAAGAAAAGCCGATGGACCCTGCGATTGCCAAGCTGCTGGAAGAGTTCAAGGATCTAACCGAGCCGCCGACAGGAGTAGTACCGCGGCCCATCCAACACCGCATTGAGATAGAGCCTGGCAGTAGGGGCGTTGTGTATAGGATGTCCCCACGGGAGTTAGAGGAGCTTCGCAAGCAATTAGACGAGCTCCTCGAGAAGGGTTGGATTAGGCCCAGTTCGTCTCCTTTTGGAGCGCCTGTTCTCTTTGTTCCTAAGAAAGAGGGAGAGCAGAGGATGTGTATAGACTATAGGGGTCTAAATGCTATTACAGTGAAGAATGCTGAGCCACTGCCTAGGATAGACGATCACTTAGATCGAGTGCAGGGGGCGAAGTATTTCTCCAAGATAGATTTGAAGTCCGGATATCATCAGATAGAGGTTCACCCTGATGATCAGTATAAGACCGCGCTCCGGACTAGATACGGGCATTATGAGTTTATTGTGATGCCCTTTGGACTAACCAATGCGCCAGCTACGTTCCAGTGCTGTATGAACGATTTGTTTAGGCCATGGTTAGATAGATTTGTTGTTCTCTACTTAGATGATATTTTAGTGTTTAGTAAGACTGTGGCATACTGCGTAGCCACACGGGCTCTGCAGGGCCCGTCCCGGACATTCAGCCTAAAAGCCTAAAACTTAGGGCTTACAGGCCCCATTCGTTTCAGCCTGAAAGCTGAAAAACGAGGGCCGACAGGCCCTACCCCGTTTCAGCCTATTTCTGGGTCTTTTCAGACCCAAAGTTTTCAGCCTGAAACGGAGGGCCATTTTCAGGCCCTCATTGTTTCGACCTGCCCCTAAGACTCAGGCACGTAAACAGGGCTGCAGAACAGGCCAGAAATAGCCTGTTCCTCACGAGTTTGAGCAGGAGCTGCAACTGCAGCCCCTGTCTCCCTTCGGCAAGCTCAGGAGGCACACCCGTAGTACATAGGAAGTTCCCATGCACTTCACGGGTAGGTAGTGTCAGTAGG